AACTCATTAACACAACATGACACAAGACGAGACGCGTGGCGAGACGGTTCAGACCAGGAGGGACAAATAGGCCTCCATTTCTTAACATCCTTATGTTGTGAGTATCCCCTCAGAGGGGCGTTTCCACCTGAGCGTGTAATACACTGTGCCTCGCTGTCAGGGCACTCACAACAACAAGGAAAAAGAAGAAAAAAAAAAAAAATGAAGGATTTCACCCTTAGCAGTTGCCAGCTATGGCCTTCCTCACAGTCGTCCCCGACATCACGAGAAGGCACATCAGAAACAACCTAGATTCTTCTTTCCTATAAAAACACTGGATTCGTGAAAACCTAACTAAACCACCAAAACCTTACATTAAACCACCAGTACTTGGCCCAGCTATCGGCCGTAGAAAAAAGTAGAGAAGAAACGTTTCTAGTCGGATCAATTTGGGCGCTCTTATAGTAGCCCGTACGTTTCCTAAAATCATGGCGCGTTAACGGGCACGACTCTAGGAAGTACTGGTGGTTTAAGGTTGTCTCAACTTGGGGAGTGTACGAGGGGAGGGAAGGGGTACAAGAACATTGTGGTAGGCAGGGTTGAACAGTTCGGGTTACTTAACAGGTAATTCACCGCCCGAGGGGAGTAGTTGACTCACATACAGTGGTTGTATGGGCCACCTACAGAGACCGCATGGGTGGGTGGGATATCGCCAGAGGTCGAAATACTACCTGTGGTAGTCCAGGTAGTTAGAGTCTGCCTGATGACCAGCAGGTGCGAGTCAATGCTTGTCTCATCTCATCGATTAGGACCACCTGGCTGGTTGGTCGTCTCTAGGTAGTGCAGAGACATTGGGACACTCTCATAGCTACGTCATCAGGGTCCTAGGGCCCACCAGGGACAAAGCATGGGTAGACTATGAGGGGTGGTATAGGAGCTGGAGAGACTAGTAGAGAGGACGCCGATAAAGTATAGCTCGGGTAAGGACCCATGTATTGAGTCTGTCTCCTGAGTAGGGGTAGGGCATAGGGGGTTAGGGTATTGTACATTAATAGGAGGGAGACAGACTCTATGCTTGTCCGAGGGGGGATCGGCTAGGGATCTGATAAGTCAATGGTTGGGGGACAAAGCTGCTTAGAGTGAGCCAAAATAGCCCCAGTTGGAGGTTGGATCTGATGGGACAGAAGCCGATCTCTAGTGGCAAGCTAGTAGGTCTAGGAATGACCACGACTTGCGATAGGACTAAGGGCTTCAAGCCCGTACAGGACTCCGTCTAGGAAAAATGGTCCAGAAAGCCCATTTGGTCATTCTGAACTTCGAGTGACTGAACCCTGAAGAGTACTCCCGCACCTAATACCCTGCCTCTACAACAACCTGGGGATTTAAAAAAAAAAAAGATAAACTGACTCAAACTGTTATTTTTT